TGGCATCGGAGGCAATGGTAGCTACGAATAGAGAGGGAGAGTCTGGAGTCGTGACCGGTGATAGCTCCGGCGGCGAGCCTCGGCCTTGGTGACGCCATGGATCGCGGTTAGCGGTGGCCGATTTCAAAGAGAGACGAGAGAGGGAAGGCAGTGATTCCGGTGGCGCCTGAGGTCGCCGTTGACGTCGAGATCGGTAGAGGGTGGAGGCACGAGTGGCTGGTTCGAAGAAGCGTTGGTCTACGGTGACCGGTTGGGAGAAGGTTGAGGCGTAGTCGTGGGTGGCAGAGGTGAATGTCTCTATTTCAGAAAAAAAACCCTCAAATTCTTTCCCCAATCTCAGTTGCCCTTTAATTTTTTCGAATTTCCGACTTTGCCCTTACCCAAAACTGAATTATTTAATACAAAAATCGTTTTAAATGCCACGTCTGATTACTGTAACGGCCGTTTGTCCAAATTAACGGCAGGCCTGTGATTGATTCAATTTTACAAAAAAAAGGACTCAATTGATACGCCGAAAATGAAGAGGACCTATTTGAAATTCATGACCAAAATAGGGACCTACGGAGACATTAAACCTACTTTTTTCTATTATCCATTCAAATTTTGTTTTCATAAATTAAGAACAAAACAGAAAATTAATAAAAATAAAAAGAAATAAAATAAGATTGCAAATTCAAACTTTTCACACTAGGTATAATTAATGTACCGTATGGACGGTTACGCAAAGGTATCGATGTCAAGTCAGATCGGACGTCGTCAACAATCAAGAACAAAGTGATTGAATGTAACAGAATCGACACATATAATCAGATGACTATAAGTGGATGTCTAACTTCCCATACAAGGATTAAGATAATAAGTGATTAAATGTATTGGAATGAGATTGAACCATGATTAATATCTTCCCGATCTCAAGTCCGAAAACTATATATACAGGTAAAAAATGAGTGGTAGGTGATCGTTTTTCTGTGCATTTATTACCAGCATTGAGTTATCGTGTGAACAGTTATCGGAGAACTTTTGATAAGTACACCTCCAAACGATAGAGTAAAAACAATACTTAAAGCCACTCCACGTTGTCATTGTCATCTTGCTAGATTCAATTGAATTCAACCAAAAATAAGATATAACACCAACCAATGAAATATATGCAGTCTTCCACATAGTGAGAAATTCAAATTGGAAAATGGGATAAAAGGTTGGTGAATTTTTGTAGCTGAGTTTTTGGACCACAATATAAGAGACTTTTAAAAATTGCATGGCAGAAGAGTGAGTGTGGGGCTTAAAGAAGAGAAGAAAGTAAAGAGTGGGCATAGAAAATAGGTTATAATAGATGGAACGTGGAAAATGTTTGAAATGGTTAAAGTGAAAACAAAGAAAGAAGGGACCACATACAGAGCACCCACACACTGCTTTATAAGAGTTCAGATAACACAGCCAAACAACAAAACACTTGCCTTCGGTCAACAAACAACTCTCTCCATTTTTTTTCTTTTTTCTACATTATCTAAAATCACTTTTTTATTTATATTAAAACATTTTACTAAGTTCTTTTTTCTTTTTGGAGTGAAAATTTTCATATAATATTTTCACTTTTTACTTAAAAATATACTTAATCTGATATTATACTAACACTCATTTATAAACGAGAGAGTAAGAAATTAAGAATTAATAAAAGAAATATTTTTTGACACACCTAAAATTTTTCATATTTATTTGATTTTTTTTTTACTTTTCTTAAAAAATATATATAAATATTTATACTTTTACGATGATTTTATCCTTAGGTGAAAGTTTACGATGAAACCAGTAATGAATGTACAGTGAGAGGAGTAAGGATAACACAGTACACTTTAATATTTATTTGACATAGAATAAAATGATCTTTAGACTTTTATAGTTGTTTGGAAAAATAAATAAGAAATAAAAAAAATAATATCAAATGTAAAAAAGTTATTTATATTAAAATATCATATTTTTCTATTGAGATACAGATGCAAAGATCGTAATCTTGTTCAGGTGACACATTGGCCCACTTGAAGCCAGAATTTATTATGGATTGATTTGATGAAGAGGTGTGGTTTGACTTGGAAATTTCATTCACCCAGTCACATAAATAATAATATTCTAATTTAAGAACACATGGATCCGCACGTTCTTATCTGTTATGCTTCTAGTACTTCTCACACTACGTGTTAAAAGTAATAAATAATAAATAAAAAAGAACAGGAACAGGAACAGAAGAACTTCATGGTCGATTAACGTTGGAGAGAGATATCTTAAAAGAAGCAAGTGGCTTATTGTTTCGCATGTGTCTCTTTCCACTCAGTTTCCTTCCTCAACTTGAGTTCCTTCTATCTAGTGCTGCCTCCGCTACCTGCTCTATATATATGCTTCTTTTTCCTTCCACTTTCTGAAACTTTTGCCATTTTCCTTCTTCCAACATACTAAACTACAAACTAAGACAAAACAAAACACCTTTTTGAGTTTTGTTCAAAGATGGATTGTTCATCATGGATCAACACTTCCTTGGATCTCAACATTAACCCACGCAGAGTTCATCGAGAACTTCCCGTAAGTGTATATATATATATGTCATTCTTCTGGTGACCATTCCCAGAAGAAGAAGCATTTATGGGACATGCTTTCGTTCTGATTATAGTTTGATATACATGGAAGCAATTCATTCATTGTCGTCTGTTGATTTCAGAAGGAGGTAGAAAGCAAGCTTTTTTCTTTGGGAATGCCCAAGTTTAACGTCGAAGAATGTTGGGAATCTAAAAGACCCATCAAAGATGAGGTTAGTTCACCCAGTTAACTGTTTCTTCTTTAACTTCCTTCAAGATCTTTATTATATCTCCGATGGTTAGTTTGAAACGAAACCGTGATCTTATTTATATATATTTTGAAAAGAAGAAACAGATTAAAAAAGGTGCCAAATTCGTGAATTAAAAGAAAAGTAGGACATGAAAAGAAAACAGAAGTATTTATTTGATGATGTTCCCTGAGACAAAGATCCGGGTCTTGAGGATGAAATTCTGTGAATGGTTCTAACATGGATGATGTTATTGGCGACATTTCAGTCTACTAGTGACTTGGAGGAGGAACTGAAGCGGGTGACAGCAGAAAACAAGAAGTTGGCTGAAATGCTGTCGGTGGTGTGTGAGAACTACAACACTTTGCGAAGCCATTTGATGGAATATACGAGGAAAAATGGTGAAAAAGAGACCAGCCCGACATCAAAGAAAAGGAAGTCTGAAAGCAGCAACAACAATAGTATTTGTGTGATGGGAACTAATAATGGAAACTCCGAGAGCAGTTCCACTGATGAAGAATCTTGCAAGAAACCGAGGGAAGAAACCATGAAACCAAAAATTTCAAGAGTTTATGTCAGGACCGAAGCATCTGACACCACCCTTGTAAGACTCTTTACATTAATTTCCTATCAGGCATGGTTAATAGCATAAAATATTAGGAGTAACTGTTTGACAGGTTTTTCATTGTATGTGGTTTCAGATTGTGAAAGATGGGTACCAGTGGAGGAAGTATGGGCAAAAAGTGACCAGAGATAACCCATGTCCAAGAGCATATTTCAAATGCTCTTTTGCTCCAAGCTGCCCTGTAAAAAAGAAGGTGCAAAGAAGTGTGGATGATCAATCTGTTCTGGTTGCTACTTATGAAGGGGAGCACAACCATCCCCAAGCTTCTTCACAAATGGAGGCAACATCAGGTTCTGGGCGTAGTGTGACCCTTGCTTCAGTGCCTTGTGCAGCTGCCACTCCAACACTTGTTACCCTTGACTTGACAAAATCTAAGGGCAGCAACGATTCCAAGAGCACGAAAACTAAAGTAGATACACCTAAAGTGCAGCAGGTTTTGGTGGAACAGATGGCAACTTCTTTGACCACGGATCCTAATTTCAGAGCAGCACTTGTTGCTGCCATCTCAGGAAGATTGTTGCACAATAATTGAGTGGAAATTTTGGTTGATGTGGCTAATTTAGTGTCAATGTTTAAGTATATTCCATAAAATGGAGATCATTCTTTAGAGCACAGGATCTCTCTGTGTAAATACAACATGGAAGGCTGGTACATCTTTGATCCTTCAAGTGGAAATAAAGTTCCGCTAAGGATAAGTATGTTGAGCTGATTAAACAACAGAAAGATCAAAAGCTCTGCACCACCCATCTGCCTCATGATGATGGTAAAGATTTAGCAAGCCTTTTTTGGCCAATATATCTGGCCCTCCGGATTTTGAATCTCCTGAAGTTTAACTGTACAGACTCAAGATCCTAGTACTACTTTTACAATTCTATTTCGAGAACTTGTCTTACATGTTGATCAAGTATTGTAAGTGATAGTTTGTAACTCGAAACATTGAGGAATGAAAAGGAAAATCTGCATGATTAGACTTTGGACTATGATTGATATTGTTTAGCAATGATTCCTAATAATTAAATTTGAAATCGATTCAGTTTTAGACTCATTTAAATTGATCATATAATTCTCATAACACACTCTATAAAAGGCCATTTATACAAAGGATAAAAACTTAATTTTGAGATTCTCAGAAGTATCTATGCTGGTGTGCGATGCTACTCAAACAACAGTGTACCAAGCACAGAAGACCCTTGAGGATGAACCTGTTGGGGGTTTAAAATTTGAATAAAATATGGTAAAGAATTATTATGGGTTAGAAGGATTTCAAATGTGATTTTGAAACATCTTAGTGAAAGTCTTGAGCTTACCAAGGCAATATTTTAAGTCTGATTTCCTGAAATTAGGTAGTGGGTAGAGTAATAGGTACGCAGGCAATGGTGAAGTGTTCAAAGATTAGTTAAAAAAGTCCAGCACTGTCCCTTGATGACCACTGACCAAGTAGGTAATGCAGGGCATAGTTGACGGTAAGACGGCGAAGACTTGGAAAGTAAAGTGCCAAAGGTCTGGTCCCTATCATAGGATAAAAACCTAAAAGGAACTATTAATGGCCACAAAATAAAATAAAGGGAAAGTGTAGACAAATGCAAATACGGCTACTTAATATCTTTAATACACAAGAATTTGAAGAAATGCCAAAGGTCATTTACTCATTTTTCTCTTCAAATACAACTAAGCCTTCTGGCTAATTCATTCACATATGTATCGATTTTGTACACTCCACAATCTACTCATCTCCCCTTACAACTACTTGATTAACCCCCAGATGATCATTTTAACCAAAGCCATTGTTGTACTACTTAGAGGAGAAGTTCATTTTGTTCACAGCCAGTAACAGGCCTACATCAGTTGTCTCGTCGTTTGGCTTGTCTTTGAGCTTGGAGTTGAGGGAGCTTTCGTTGACCATGGCTTCTGCATTGGAGGTACACTCCTTGAATCTGAAGCAACTGATAAGATGGTCATTTGTTAGGCCAGCCACTTGCATGAAAGTGTAGATGACTGTCGGTCCAACACTCCTGAAACCTCTCTTTACAAGGTCTTTACTTATGACTTCAGCTTTTGGAGATTTCACAGGTACCTGGCGTGGGTATCTGAATTGGCTAACTATAGGCTTGTGGTTAACAAAGTTCCAAATAAATGTGTCAAAAGATCCAAACTCTTCAATTACCTGTGTATGAAAAAATATATAGTTAAAAGACAAAATAAGTACAACCCTCACAGTTTGACACTTATAAACTATGGAAAAATCATGATACCACCGCCCCTTAAAACAAGTTGAGTTGAGAATTTGTCTTTCTTTTTCCCGAGTCTTCATTTCATAATATTCATCTGTGGGTCAGGAAGCAGGTTTATTTCGTTTTTCTTAATATTTTCCAAAGTAGGTAGCAGAAAAGTTTGAAAATTAAGGTAAGTGTATGGGTTGCTTCACTTAAGCAAGAGCCTTTTTGGTTCAGAAAAAATTATAAAGAAATTAAAATTGCAAGTTCACACACAAGAGTGGAAAAAGAAAACTATCAGAGAGGTGTTCACCTTACACATCTGACGTGCATTTTCAATTATTGATCGCAACCTGAGTTCTGATAACAATGAGTTGGCAGGACTTCCTGGTGCAGCTATCTTTTTCTCATTCATTCTAGAAACAGCATTAGGATCAAAATCCAAAAAGACTTCCCTGTGTTCATGAATACGCTAGAACAGTTAATCCAAAATTACATCCCAAACATTATAAGTGCATATTCCACACAAAAGATCTTGAGTCAATAAAAAACAAAATGAAGCACGGAAGGGAAATATAATGAGCCTATTATTTAATGAGCAACCTTTTCTGAATTGTATCTTCAAGATGCCAATAACATATTTAAATCCAGAAAATATATTTAAAAGAAAAATATATCAATACCGAAATAGCTGCCTTTTGTTAAGAATAGTAGGCCACGTAAGCTCAGCCAAGGCTCCAGAAAAGCTAAGCAACTCAAACAGTTTCCTGCAAAAACCAAGTTTCAGCATCGAGACAGTTTCAACCTAGAAGTTGAAAACAAAACAGAAGACTGTACCCTCAACGAAGCAAACCCACGTACCTGTCGTCATGAACAGGAACTCCCCACTCGTTGTCATGAAAAGCAACATAGCATGACTCTGAAACAAAACACTAGTTAGAAATAAAAAATGAAAAATAAATTTGCAATTATATGCGACTGTACCATTTTTCCTATAGAAAATTCAAACTCCAAAGTTTAAACATTCTATTTATCCTCGCACTCTAGGCTGTCACAGGTACTGGAATATCAATCAAGAAAACCAAGGCATATGCATTCACTTAAATTCGGAGGCAATAGTATATAATGTCTTGCCATTTCATAGAAATATGGTATGTGCGAAATTTTCACCTCACTGACCGATGTTTTAGTCTTGAAGAATGAATGAAATTTAGTGATGCTAACAGGTAATAGAGTACATCTAACCCCCTCTATTTTACCAAATTAATAGGAAAAACGAGCAATAGTAACTACTGTCTACTCCACTCCAACACAAACAGTTTAAACCACCTTAGAGTTTTGTGGTAAGGACAGGGTGCTAAATTCGATAGCTATAAGAAAGAGAAGGTAAGGCAAGGAAAGGAAAACCCTTTCATGCTATGAAACAACAACATGAACCATGACACGGGTACAGCAAATGCTAAACATTGTAGGACACAAGTATGACACACATAAGGAGTATATTAGGTGGGTGCATGTTCTTAACGAGAGAAAGGAATCATTGATCATACAACTATAAATGGATGGTCAAGATAATTTCTAAGTAAAACAATCTCAACCATCCATACATAGTTATAAAATCAAATATTAGCTTCATAATTCATATTCAAGACTGAAATTATGCAAAAAATTTCCTAAACAAACTTTGCATGGTAAAACTATATATGTACAAATAAAATTTAAGACAATGTGCCCATGCGGGATCTGAGCTGAATTAAACAACTTTTAAATTGGAAACTTAAGAGACGTGAGTTAGATGAGCTGTCAATCTGTCATACAAGTGTCCCGTAACAAACACTTGTCCCACGTGCATAAATAGCACCAAATGGAGCATTCATACTTAAAGTTTGCATGCAATCCGTGAGACATTGAAAGAATGTAGGAGAGGGCGACCAGAGCTCTGGGAGATAATCTGTAGCATCATAAGTTGAGCTAGCTAGGCTAACTCCAAATGATTGATTTCCGTATAGCTAGTAAGCAATAATACAAAGGACACATACAGCAAATTAAAACAATTATAAGACATGATGACAAGGTCATAATGCAATATGTAAAAATAGTATTAAATTAATATAAAACACAAAATCTTACGTCAAAAAGAGAGAGTTGATGTTTTATATTGTGCAAATATTACTGTAGACATAAAAAACTGTCTTCATTTATTTAGATTTGAACATGATATTCTCATTTGTATTGGTACAAAAAGAAATTTACAAAAATAGTAAACATGAAGCTAGGATCTAGGAGTATCCAAAGTTTCCTTTAAGTGTTCAAGACAAAGACACAAAAGTCATGGATAAGGCCGAGCAACCATAACCCGAGTTATGCAAGAAAAAAACTACTACAACCCTTGTGCAGCATTTAAAGAAATCCCAATTCTAACAAATTGCAAACTTTAACCTTTCACCACTATGCAAGCCAAGCCATTCATTAAAGTATCTTCATGTTGTCAACTATGCGTGAACATGAAATTTTTTATGCATTTACTAGCCGTACTTATTACTGTTTTACATATAAGAAATGTCCTGCTACATAACGGTTTTAAATTTAACATGTACGAAAAATTTCAGGAAATCTACATGAGTAACACATGTTTCCTTTGTCAAGAAAATTGTTGGAGATCCTAAATCAACTAGAGATATGATCAAATTATAAGTATATAAGTAGGTGCAAACATCGCCTTAATATACATTTTTATGAAGTTGAGTTAGGTCTAAAATCTAATTTCTAAACTCGTATTAAAGTCTATCTTATCAAGGTTTTTTGAGCCTATCATGCCACCCACTATTGGATCACCTACGGATATCTAATCTCAATCTGATGTTTTAGTCCTCGGCATGGGAGGTTGTAGTAGAATCTCATATCAACTAGAAATATGACCTATCAAAATTAGGAATGTATCTTGACATTGACACATGTAAGCAGTCATACACAGAAAGGACAAAATTCTACAATATTTCTGAGTCAAATGACTAGTTAACTAGCTGAACTGGTAAATGACGAGGTGGCTTACTAAAGCTTAAACACAGGAAAATTCCTAAAATCAACATGCTTACTTTCCTATCCTGAAATTTCTCACTTTGTATAATGCAGCCAACAGCCAATTACAAGTTTACAACCAAATGCAGCTTTTGTAAGATATTTCTATTCACTTTTCCCACTCATACAAAGGGAATACACAGCAAACATGACACGGAACATAAACACAAATCCATCTCAGTTTCCAAATTCGCACTCGACTAAAAATCAATACAGCAATGTCAAACCCAACAATATAGATCAAACAAATAAGCAACAAAGATACCTGTATTTGGTGTAACCCAAGCACACCGTTTCTTGCCCTCCAAGCTATCACTCAAATCGACATATTCAGAACCACCCACATTGTCACTACTCACCTTCTCCATCTTGGGACCACACTGCTTCTTCCTCAACTGCACACTAACCCGACGAGCCACCTTCCCGCTTGACGACGCGCCGCTACTGTGAGTGGAGGAATCCGTCGATGACGCATCGGAGGAGTACGAAGCGCTCATCGAAGACAGGTTTTTCAGCACGGCCTGGTGACGCTCCTGCCGCCGCAAAATAAACGGTGGAGGAGCGGAGATGCATTGCGGTGGCGCATTTGAAAGCGCCACCGGCTTCTTCTCTGTCTCCGGCGTCAATTTCTTCACCGGCTTGCGTCCGTCGACTGCGGGGCGGACTTTGTTGCCTGCCGGGACGAGCACTGGACGCGCGTCGGGGTCAGCGACCGCGACGTTCATGGATCGGACTCTGGGTGGGCCCGACATTGCAAACCCTGCACTCAAAAACCCTTCTTCTCGAACTCACTCTCAGGTCAATGCAGAATTCGAAATTCAAATTTTAAACCTTCTCAAACAGAATAAAAAAAGCTATTTGTTTTTCGATGAGTAAAGTCTTGGGATTTTGAAATTTGAGTAGTGGGATTTCAATTCCAATGCAATACAAAACCAAACCCTAGAGGGAGTGAGAACTCCTTCAGCTGCTTCGTGCTGATAACTACTCGCTCTCTTACTAAAAAAGGTAGAAGCTTTAGATTGCAATGTTTGTGTGGTTCGGTCATGGAAGCTGAAATGGGAGTGTAGAGTGCTGAGAAAGTTGCGGAGAAAAGTAAGAGAGTGAGAGAAAGTTAATGGGTGGGAGAAATTTTTTTTTTTTTTTTGTGAATGGAAATTTCTGATGGTAAGTTGGTGGTGAAAGCAACGAATCCAAAGGAGCGTGTTGTGCGAGAGAAAGAGACGGAGGGAGAGGAAAGTTGAAGGGTCACCATTCAGGGAGTGACACGTAGGAAAGAGAAATTTGCGACAGTAGGACACTTTTGTCGGACTCTTAATTGTTGATTCAATTGTGCCTGCTGAGGGTGAAATGGGAGATTGGCACCCTTTGCCGCTGTTTATGTATTTTTCTCAACATTAAAACGACAACCATTGGTGTCGTCGTTTGATAGCAGCCAGCAGAAGAAGATTGGTGAGGATAACAATAAGGTGCACACACAGAAAAAGAAAAAGAAAAAGGGTATCAAAAGATGGGACCCACTTATCCAACGCTTTTCCACACATTCGAACCAGAGCTAAACTCTAATCTATGAAATAACTTGTAATATAGCATCAGTTCAGTACGACAATGGCAAAAGTGTAGCAATTTTGAAAAGCTCAATGGCTGCAACTTATTACAACCTGCAAAGTCCGAAAACTTTCCCAAATCTTCTTAGGAACCTACCTTCCATTCCTTCCAGTCATGTCTCACTGTTGGGTTCATTGGACTATCCGTTTCATTGTTCCACTAGAAGAGGGTACCATGTTGAGGCCAATGCTAAGAAGAAGAATCCTTGGTTAGACCCTTTTGATGATGGGGATGACCCTGAGATGGAGAGTGGTTCCTTGTTTGCAAACGGGTTGCAGGAGGAGGATCCTAGGCCACCAGATGACCCTGACAACCCTTATGGATTTTTGAAGTTCCCTTCTGGATATGCTGTGGAGGTAGCGTCCCTTGCATTGAAAGTGAGAGGGGATGTGAGGAGATGCTGTTGTGTGATACCTGGTGGGGTTTATGAGAATCTCTTGTTCTTTCCAGCAATTCAGCTGATAAAGAACAGGTATCCTGGTGTTCAGATTGATGTGGTGGCGACCGAGAGGGGGAAGCAGACCTATGAAATGAATAAGAATGTTAGGTGGGCAAATGTCTATGACCCTGAAGATGATTTTCCAGAGCCTGCTGAGTATGCTGATATGATTGGAGTTCTAAAGGTTGGCCACAATTTATATTCTCTAAATATCTTGTGTGAATCAACAACTTTTCATGGTCCTAATGATGGTTGATCCATATTGCCAAAAAGTAATGATGACATGACCCCTTTCTATATGCATATGCAGATATAGAAAAAAAGAAGCAGCGAGTTAATTATCATCTCAGGATTAGATTATGGGTGAAATAAAACTATTTGTGAATAAAATTACACGTCACTCTATCAGACAGCAGAAGCTGTGATTTACAGGTTTATGTCGCAAAATTGTGATAATTTTATGGACAAATACAGGATTCAGATTTTAGATTGCCTTCCCTAACGTGAAGAAGCTTAAAGAACACGCTATCTTGATTGAATTCTAACGAAATTTGCAGCTGCTGGGGCTTGGTGTACATATACAGCAACCAAATCTAACAACTCGGCTGCATTTGCATGCTACTTCCTAAGAGCCTCTTCAATGCAAAAACTTAATTTCAGTTCTAAACTATTTTTTTAGTGAATATCTTCAATGATTATGTCATACAATTTAAAAACTTCACTATTTTTCACTCAAGAATTCTTTTTGACTTCAAAAATTGTATTTTTAATGGTTAAGCAACCCTGGTCGTTCTTGCTTATATAAGACAAACTTCTGCAAAAATTCATTTCTTCCAATGGTATTCTTAAGTTGATTTGTTTTAAAAACTAACATAAGTTGCTGCATTCTGCTCACAGAATAGGTACTATGACATGGTCCTAAGCACCAAATTGGCAGGCCTCGGCCATGCAGCATTTTTGTTTATGACAACCGCCAGAGATAGAGTTAGCTACGTGTACCCAAATGTGAATGCTGCAGGAGCCGGATTACTTTTATCTGAAACATTTGTACCAGATAGTTTAAATCTCTCAGATGGAGGGTATCATATGTGAGTAAGTTTATATAGTACCATACAAATACCTTATACTGGGGTGGATTTTGGTGCCCTTGGTTAAACTTAAAATTAAAAATAATATTGAACTGAATTGAAGTTTTTGGGTCATACAACTGAGAACATTTTCAATGAGTATGCTGAACTAGGTATCATCAGATGGTTGACTGGCTGGGAAAACCATTTCGAGACCTTCCACAACAAGTAGTGCCACCCCTCAGGGTGTCAATCTCAAGGAAGCTGAAGGAGGTTGTGGAGGCAAAATACGAAAAAGCAGGTGTGAAAAAAGGAAAGTATGTTGTAATTCACGGGATAAAATCAGATTCACAGGCATCTATGCAGTCTAGGGGTGATCCTGATAGCTTGCTACCCATTGAAGTGTGGGCTGAAATTGCTGACGTTATAAGGTATGTCATGCTACCAAATGGAATTCGTGTTGAACTGGACTCAGGGAAAAAGATTGCTTCACACCAATAATTACCATTTGAAAATCTATTGAAAGTGTAAAATGATCTTAAAAAAAGTGAACTTTTATGTTTATAAAGAAAAAGAGAGTGAATGACACTGAACTATAATGTCAAATGGATGCAAATTCTTTGTGGGATGTCGAAGTATCATTCTTCTGATCTCAATCTAACACCGTGGAACATTCTTTTGGACTTGTGTTACTTATTGTTTCTTAATGTATAAGACTTGATGACAGCCAGTAGAGTGGTATCATTCTTAATGATGTTCAATAAGTTCTCTGGTATAGTTTTTTGCTTGCTTTCTATCATTGCATGGTATGAATGTTGCTGACAATATTTTGAGTGTGACAGGGATGTTACGCCACTTTTTGTCATTCCTCATGAAAAGGAAAGGGAAAATGTGGAGGAAAACTTCGATGAAGATGCTTCTATTGTCTTCATCGCCACCCCTGGACAGGTACTCAAATATCTTCTGGTTATTTTGCAAGCACCAAACATATGAAAAAAAAATCTAGACAGTAAAAAAATTACACATGTAACACTGAAATAGTATGTGAATAAATCATGAAACAAGAATCAAGTAAGGGACAAAGCAATGAGTATTGGAATCTTCACTCATACTAATTGTATTTCCCTCTTTGGTTGTTTTCTTCAGCTGGCTGCTCTTATTAATGACTCAGCTGGAGTGATAGCTACAAACACAGCTGCCATTCAACTTGCAAGTGCACGCGACAAAACTTGGTAATTTTATCATTCAAACAAATTATAATGTCTTTCTTAATAAGCCTTGAAGGAATCATGTAACACAGAATCAGATCATTTAAATAATAGACCTGTTTTGTTCCTCTTATTGTGCAGTATTGCACTATTTTGCTCTGAAGAGATGGGAAACAAGTTTGTTCCGCAGGCTGAAGAGAAGAAATGCACCATAATATCATCCAAGACAGGAAAGTTAATAGATATTGATGTTGAGGCCATAAAAACCGCAGTTCAAACATTCAATTTGGCTCCAGTTTTAGTATAGTGAAAGAGAAAAAAGGGAGTGTTTGTACTTCTGGTTAAGGGATTATATTAACTGTTTTTTTTAATTAATAAAGACAAATGTATATCTACATAGTTATGGTTCAGTTCATATTCTGAATGAGAAAACAGAATTGAAAGTGAAAGTCAAAACACTGTAAAAATTTGGGTTGAGAAAACAGTGAAAGACACAGAAATAAAACTATCGAAAAACAAAAAGATAAATGCTTTTCTTCTTTGATCAACACACAAAAAAGAAAAACCCCCTATCATAGGTGGACGTTGCATGCATTAAAGTTACTCACTTAACGCTATGGCTTGTTTGAATATCATGAGAACCAGAAAGAAGTTTTGCAGTTCCTTAGAAATAGTTTGATGGAATCAGAACATACAAATAGAAACGTTCATTCCAGAGCTGTGGAAAGAAACAGCAGCATTCAAAAATTTGGAGTTCCTCAAGTTCTTTCTAACCTACTGAAATTCAATCAGAGGAGTGGCTTGGCACGAGTAGATGAATCTTCCTTTGATTCCACTTGCATCATAAACACATAACCTAAAACCCAAAGGAGAATGTATTGAAAAGGAACCCACGAGAGGCATGCAAGAAGACTCATAATGCTGCCAACGTATTGAGGATCTCTGATGACACCAAAAGGGAACTCAGTAACCCAGGGAATATGTTTTCCAAAACGTACACCATAGTATGTGCCAGCCTCACCCAGTAGCTGATAAACCCTGTTATTTGACAATGTTATCATTATGCACAGACAACCTTCAAAGCAATAAAGTCAAGTAACTGCACTCCCTAATTAGAAGTAAGGCACACACAAGGATAAAAAAATTAAGGCTCATAAGAACAAGCTAGAAATGATAGGGGGAACAAGCTAGAAAATTCTAAAAGTATTTCATCAGAAAACCTGCCATTCCTCCCACTATTTCTACATTTATTATGACATTCAGGGAAATTAATTCGTAAACCAGTATTTGATCTATTGGATTCACAATTTGTAAAACGCAGCCATTTATTTTAACATTTTTATTAATCACACACAGGAGTTTTTTGTTTTCTAGTTTCCATGATGAGACTTAGCAATGAAAACATGCCTTTTGCAGTCATGATATGCTTATCCACAGAATATGTTTATCTCTGGTTTCTGCGAAGCTATAGTCACCCCAACAGAGACATCACAACTTCATACCACAGCATGATACAAGATTTGTTAGGACGAGATTTTCCAGAAGGACATCTTGTTGAAACATAAAATGAGTTTCTTCATAAACTAATTTTAACTTAAAGACAAACTAATTTCAGATTCTATTCTTATTTTTTTAAGCACAAACACAAAGTAAACTAAACACTGCAAAAGTGGAAGACTGACAAAACTTTAGAAGTATGGAATTCATCACCGTACGTTTGATTGCAGTTAGAGGGTTCAATTCAAAAGTGCTTTAACTCAAGAAAGTACAAAATTTTCTTTCTTTCCTTTGGTTTCCTGGAATTCCGAGAAGTACTTTTCCAACTTTAATCCAAAGGTGGCCTAAAACAAACTCTTTTTTCTAAAAGCCAACAAAG